ATTTCAAACTTTCTTCACGTATTGTCCACATCAAGCAAGGTCTTCCGGAAAACATGGGAAATCAGAGATGGTTTTTAATGTCGTCTTTAATTTACACTGCATTAACCGTGAGCATGTTAATAAATAATAATAGTATTGCCGGACCAGATTTAATGAATAGCGAAAAGTAGTTAAACTTCACAGATGTAGTTGAACCACTACTCCTTTACACGGGTTCAACTTGAACGTGACTACGTCTAACTTTTCACAATTACCAACGGAAACTCTGGAAATATCCAAAATAGGGTTAGTAGTTTTTTATGTATGTATAGTATATTAAATACGTACGTTCGAAATTGATGGAGATACTTAAAAATATCCAAATTTAAGTTGTTAGATAAAACCACAATTACTACGTACAATTAATGTCTTATGATACATAAATGGTAGCCTCCATTTTGGAAACCTCGTAGAAGTTATAACGACCTTTTTTAATACACTCCAATTGTCTTCAATCGAAGACGACCTTGATGTCGTCTCTAAGTCATGCTTTTTGTAAACGCCCTGTATTTCATTTGCTTTGATGAAATGTCACGAATCTTCCTGATAATAACAAAGACATTTTTTAAAATTTAATTTTATATAAAATGAACTCTCTGCATCAAAACAAATAAACATTTTATAAAATGCATTAGCAAAAGTTTTACGAACTTTGATAATCAGAAAACAATGGACTAGGAAGGCGATATTATAGCAATACTTCAGTTTATTTAATGTTGTTACAAAGCAAAAAGTTTTACTAGATACTTATCAAAGCACTTATTCAGTGAAATGGGTCTGTTTGCACTGTTCAATCTAAAATTTGTCTACCTATATCAGAGTACTGTATTTTACTAACTCAAAGAAAAAAAGCAAAAAGTTTCTAGAATATTATCCCAAGATGACACGGGAAAAGCTACAAATTTTGGCATTTTCTGAATAAAGAATGTTTAAGTATATTGAGGAATCGAAATCTGCCTAGTAGCTGTTGAAAGATGGCTGCCGGAAAAATGAAGTATCGGCGGGGCAATCAACTAGAAAATTGGATTTCTAAGCTCTGAGGAATTAAATATTCTCCGCTTAAACTTTTCTTTTAAATTAAGCAAATGCAGGAGGATACCGGAAACCAGGAGAAATATCAATCTCATGATTTTTGATCGAAACGTAAACATGAATAAAAATATGAATGAATGAATATTCAATAATATTTACAAAAGAAATCTTTATTCTGTTTTCTAATTCTATATTTCTTCACACCACACATACCAGTTTCAATGAAACATTGAGTTTAAAAGAAATCTAGGTCCAATTGTCCACGTCTCAAAATTATTCTATTCTCATTATTCGTTTCTTCTTTCTAAACTTTTAACGAAATATCCCTTTCTTCTCTTTTTTTAACCCAAGATATCGTGATTTTTCCATCTTAAAACTTGTAAAATTCTGACAACCTACATTGTCTCTGGATAATGAATCCGAAAGTCAGTACAGAGAACAAACACAGTTGAGAATAATCAGTCAGACACGTGTGAGCACCCTGTTTAATTGATTTAACCATCATCTATTTTTATTTTATAAATTTTGTTAAAAACAAAAATTTTAAAAAATGTCAGTCAGAACTAAGGATATTTGTTTTATCCTTAATCATACAAAGGTTAACATATAGCACCAATGTGAATCGGACATGAGACACGAGTGGAGCACCACTAAAAAGTACGTCTACATGTTCCTTTCAGGATTAAAGTCTTTTCTGCGTAAATAAAATTCCTACAGTTTTTGGTACTCCTCGTTACAGTATTTAAACCCCTACACTGCATAGTTTAAGATCCTTGAAATTTAAAGTTTAAAATTTGAAAATCAAATTCAAATTCTCTTGTAAACCGTTTGTATTCAAATAGAGGCATAAATGTCTCATATCTTGAGAAAAAGGAAATCGGAGCGTGTAAATAAATCCTCCAGAAGATAATGCAACATGGCTAACTTGGGGAAATCTACACTTTTTAGTTCAGTTTGGTGCATTTCCTGGTTTTAGTTCCGGTTCTAAACCGGGGTTACATCTGGAAGAGGGAAGAGGGGGGATGGTAAAAAGTTCTTGAACCTCAATCTTTGTATCCCCCCCTCGAAATTTTTCAAATATATTTCGGTAATTTTTTACTACAGAATCCTACAAGAGCCGGGCGCCGCGCGGTAGGAAAAATGAGGTGCCCCATTTTAATCCCTGAAAGAAACTATAAACCAACTTTTTAGTGCACCCCTTGGAAGCAAAATCTTTTTGAGTCCATATTTAAAATCTAACTTATGGGGCTAAAGCCGAACAATTACCCCCGATTTTCCAGGGGGGGGGGAGTGTCCCCACTTTCCAACCCCATTTAGTTGCTACTGCCTCAATCCTCAGCAAGTATATTCCTGTATATGTACCGTACAGGGTTAAATGGGCTGCTTAAATATTTATTAAATTATTTAAATATTTAAAATCTTATTTTTCATATTTAATCCTGAACTGAATAAAAATGGCAGAGTAGTAATAATTGTACCCACTAGTCTGTAGAGGATATGAAATCCCCGAAAGAGGATTATGAAATCCGCAAATCAGTAGAGTCGGATCCTGGAACCAGAGAAGACCTGCTCAACTTCCTCTTTTTTTATACACTCGTTATTTATTATGTATTTATGTAATTCTAAATGGTGACCCCAGACAAGATCTAGTTCCATGATCCGACTCTACTGATTTGCGGATTTCATGATCCTCTTTCGGGGATTTCATCCTCTACAGAAGTCCCCCCTAAATCTCGAGCATAGAGAGAGTCGAGACTGATAATTATCTCCTTGTGAGTGTTTACGGAAAAGAAGTAGAAGGAGTTCTGGTGATGATAGATCATTATTCATTTATTTATTCTATACCTAGTTTCAGTATTTTAGGTTAATGATGTCATAAAAAAATGAATTGAAATGAATATTCTCATATTTTCTTGCCTCTTCTATTTAGTGTTAAGTGGTGATGTATAACTGTCCAGTTTAAATATTTAATATAATATTTAATATTTCACCCATAAGGACGAGACAAACTTTTTTTCTCTAACAGCTGTTGTTCTATCAGTTATCCAAAAATTAACCATATCATATAAATCATATTTCCTCAAAAAGAATTGCTCTTTGGAATAAGAGATTCAAAGGACAAAGTAAAAATGATTTTTTGGTAAACAAGCTTATTATAGACTTCTGTATTGGTCATTTTTTGACGAGACAATAATCTAGTTTTTATTGTACATTGCTAAAACTTTCATTCCTTTTCTTACTTTTTTTTTTAGTAAGTAATAGGCTTAAATATTCTTGTACTTGAACGGATTGAACAGATTTTGAATCATTTTGGGAGTTTTAAGTTATTGATGACAATCTATCAAAAATATTTGAGAAAAAAATTCTTTCCCTTCGATCTTTAAAATTCTTGTTAACTCTTTTCAGCTTGTGTATCTTTTAACTGCACTCCACAAATTTGTCAAAGAACAAGAACATTTTTGTTTTCAATATTCAGTTGTCAGAGGAGAAAAGATAGAACTGTGGCTCGGAGCAGATTTTGCCGGTGGTTCGGAGTAAAACCTGTCTGTGGCTCATGGTTTCTTTAGAACTCCCTCAATTCATATTTCAAAAGATTTTGAATCTTTATGTTTATTTTCTCCATGAAATGCACTTTTGGACAGATCAAGGATTAGTCTAAAAACAAGAAAACAGTTGAAAATTCAAAAAGTTTTGATAAAAAGAAAATGTGTAAGAATTAAGATTAAGAACCCCTCAAGGGAAATCAGTTTGATCTGTTCAATTTAATTTCTTAAACTTTTGAATCTTTGCCGTCTGTCTTTTTGTTTCTTGATTTCTCTTTCAACCCTTTAAAGGGATTTACGTGAACATTATCTTTTGTGAGTACAGTGCCCTTTATTTCTATGAATTCCATAAACATTAAACTATTCAAAAGAGCGAAACAAAATCTGCTCTCATTCAAAACATAAAAATTCTGAAAAATATGAATAAAGTTGATCAATTATTTCCTGTTTCATCTTTATCATTAATAAAGATTGTCCCGGGGACAAAAAAAGCTTTTCAAAAAAAATATAGATTGCACATTTTCAATTTACAACAAATTATTTCCAGTTTGGACCGTATCGGAACGGAAGAGAAAAGTAAAAGTAGCAAATTATTAAATGTTAAATTTTATAAGTTAAAATATATAAAAAGTCTTACTGGACCCTCGAGTAGTAATTAAACATTATTAATTTTTCTCCAAGAACCAGTTAATCATATAATTTTATATTAAAACTTTTTTCTTTCTTAAATAGGGAGGGCTCAACAGTCAGCATCCATTGGGGCCTGACACCCCCCCCCCCTGCAATCACAAGTTTCACTTATCAAGATGGGGGGGGGGGCTCGTTTTTTGTGTGAGAGTTTACAACCTTTAAATCACTGTCACATATATTCCGATCCCCGGGAAGTCTGAATGAAAATTTTCCTTTACATTACTTTGAGTAAGAAAATACTTGTTTTTTATCGTTTGTAAAGTGATAAATTATAAAATATTTTTTACTCTAAATAAATATAATCTTAAGATTATTTAACTGAAGTTCTAACTAGTTTTCTCTCTAGATCTCTAGACTAATTATACTTATACTAACTAGTATTACTAGAAACTAATCAGATTATAATCTTTTTTTTTTATCTTCTATACTTCTATCTTAGTCACACACATGCAGTTTTTTCTTATTTTAAGGACAAACTTTGTGAAAAATATGCTTAAAAAATATGCCTTAATTTATTGAGTGGCATTCACAAGGATTCACAACGGTACCTTAATATTTTCGATCATGTCAAAAAAAAAGAAATTGAGCAGTTTTTCATGAAACCCCGACTTTCTTTAAAATTTTGTAGATTTTATAAATATTTTGTAAATATTCATCACATGATTCCGAAGTTTATGAAAGTATGACCAACAAAACTTTTTTAAATTGAGAATTAGTATTTTTGTTTATTTACAACAATAGAGATATGTGTATAGTAAGATGAATATTTCTTCAGTATTAAATTGTTATCATCACAGCACACAGTTTTCAGGAATATTCGTCCCATTAGAGGCCTACACAAATTATGTAAGTATAGAGTTTATAGAAAAAATTAGCTTGAAGTTGGAAAACCCGATGCGACGTTCGGTCCAATAATAAATGATTTAATATTTTTGCAAGTTGCAACGACTCAAGGAATAAATTTATTTAATTCCTTCTGTTCACTCCGAAGTTTAGTATCGTGTTCTTTGTTTAACCTTTAATTTTAAATCGTTTGTTTTCTTTAACTAACAGTTTTGTCTTCTTTTAGCTTTAAAAAGGAAGACGACGTAGCTATTCAGAGATGGATATTTATTAATGACTGAATGAACTAGAAAAGGCTAGTTGGACTAATTTTCAGTAAGGTAGTTAAGCTTGAGTCAAAACGCTGATCAGATCGTTTTATCTCCATTCATTTTTGCGACAAGGGGGGGGGGTTCAGAATTAGTTTTAAATATACAGCCTTCCTGAGCTTGAACTGTTGAACTTGGTTTAAATTAAAACGCATTCATAAATTTTCAACGCAGGTTAACATATATTTTCGAAGTTTGATGCATTTAATTAAGTAAGAAAAAAATCTATTCCGAGCCCGAATTTAAAGAATTTAAGTCGCGGCTTAAATCCGCCAAAACCCGGTTTAAATTGAGCGCCGGCTTAAATCTTGAAACATTTGATACAAGTTTAAGTGAAACCAACCATAATTAAGCCGCGGCTTAAATTTAAACCGGGGCTCAATTCTTTAAATTCGGCATCTGCATAAAATAAAATAAAATAAAATAGTGAACCTTGTAATGACGACATATTTCCGATTTAAGATTTCTCAGTATTTGCCGCTGGGAGTGGTGCTTCCTGTTCAAGAGAATAGTTGGTACAAATGTCATCTGAAATTAGAAAATATCAAATATTTTTTAAATGAAGGGTTAAAACATTTAAATCAACGGGAAAGGTTCTAAAACTCCAGTAAAAGGAACAAATTACTCGCCTCAAACTTTAATCTTTTAAATCCTTATATTTTCGCAACTGGAAGTTAACTTTTGATATCTTAAACTTCTTTTTTATACTTTTTAAAATGTCCGCTATCGGTCAAAAGAACTGTGTTGCCCTGAAAAAAATGTATTTAATAGATTTTCAACTTATATACATTAATCACCAGAAAATTCTGAAATAAGTAGACGACTCTTAAAATCAAGTTTTAACTTTAAAAAGTCCAACGAGCTTTAGACACGACACTAAATTAGTAATTTATTAAGGTTCAGTAAAAACTATTTTCTTTGTAACAACATCACATACAGTTAAGTATTGCATTAATGTCGTCTTCCTATTCCTTTAAATATAAAGATAAAAAGAATTAAACCTTTGGGTTGAGTTTGCTTGTAAGTCGACCAGCGTGTGCCAGCAGCTGTTTTCCCTCAGGTCCCCGTGCACACTGTACTATTGGTTCAATTTCAAGAGTATACTCTGACCCGCACCTTCGGGCAGCTGCCTCGGGGTCATAGTTATCCATCATCATGCATCTACAACAAGGGGTTGGAACTTTAGGATTGTTAAATCCTTCTAAAAATATCTAACCCGTATCTTTAGTGTTACGACGGATTAATTTTATATATATAATTATTAGATTTATGTGAAGTGAAAAGACAGGTTTAGTTGGATTAAGCTAGCACGTAATTGCTTCAAATAAAAAATTTCCATTATCAAAAAGTTTTGATTGATTTGGAAAAACTGACATACATATTATTTGAAAAGCACTCTTTTAAAAACTATTTTTCCTATCATAAAAAATATATTTTATAAAACGTTTCATATTAACTTAATTACATATACCTGATAAATTCAAATTTTTTCCCTGAGTCTTCGATATAGTTATTTGAACAGGCATGGTAAATGTTTCCCTATACAAATTAAAGCTTTTACCGAAAACAAAACATCTATTTCTTATATCTATGTGACTTCACATGTCCCCAAGGAAGGTTTATAGATGATCAAAATTTCTAAATTTTGCCTTCAACAAAATTCGATAGTTATTACTTTTTGAAAATCCACAAAATTTTTTAGAAAATCCGCGAATATTTTTTTGCTTTTATTTTGCAATGTATACAAAGAGAAATTGTTCACAAAAGAAGGTGAGCGCGAAGCGCCCTAAAAGCCTTGTATTACTAGAAATCAGTAACTTGTAACTGAAAAATAAAAGAAATGATTTTTTGCCAAAAACTCAAATTTTCTAATTCCTATATCTTTGCAGCCTGATGGTGTAAACTATTGATATTTCAAACTTAGATTGTTTTGTCTAACAGAATTCAAAGGTTGAAATAGCAAAAAGCTACGACATTTAGCTGCAAAGAAAATTTGAGTCGGTGGCAAAACCTCAGTTCCTTTAAATGTAAAACTGTGCCGTTAAACGTTTCCATTCCATATAGAATACAATCATTTTAAGTTATGAATCCTTTGATATCTCTATCAGATTTTTCCTCATAGTTTATATTCTCAGAACTGGGAGGTTAAAGCACAGTGTTCTTATACTCGATATCAATAAACTCCGAAAAAAATGGATAAATTGTAATTTGAATGAAAAAGAATTACCAATGAATCACTACTTTTCTTGATTTTCGTGAACACGCCCTTTATTTGCCCTCCCCCCCCCCACACCGTCATACGGTACCTGGCATTCAAGTGGACCGTGTTGGCATCTAAATGTATAATCATCATCTTTATACGTCTAGACAAAATATCAAGATTAAAACCTTTACAAAATCGTTTTTTAAAGATTTGATATGAAACTAAAACAAAACAATATCTTCAAATTTTGTAAGAATTTTTACTTAAACATTTTTAAATTATATATATATATATCTCTATATATTTCAGTTTTTAACTTCAAATTTTTTATTAAAAAAGAATTATACTAAACATAATGTTTCACGTCTATCATGACGATCCTCAGTAGTTAAAATTAGTTATTGATTTAATATCAAATTTTGTCAATTTAGTGACAAGCAAGAAGTAATATAGTAATTTATATATATATATATATATATAAATAGGTGGTTTCACACTTTTTAGGAACACATAGTTTTTATTTAAATCACTGCCTTTACAATTGGAAGAGAGGTGGTTTAACCATGGGTTTAACTAAGTCTACAAGTTCAAGTATGTCTAGTCATCTTGATCCCTATACTCATATTCTATGGAGTTATTTTACAAAGCTGTTTCTTACCCTTGCCTTCCCGTAGGGAATATAGTTTATACTGAAAATATCTGCGATTTGTTCTACAGCTGGCTCCAGCTGACGTAGGATAAATGATCTAAACAAAATTTAATCATTAATGCATGCTTTGAAAAGATGCATTTTTTTGTGATAAGCAAATTATTTTTTAGAGCCTTTTGAAAATTTAGCTGGGTCGAGGCTGATGATTGGCTGGTTGTTAATGTAAAAACATGACGTTTTTTCTGAAAATAATTCATTCATTGTTCTCTTCAAAATAAGGGACTTTAAAGAGTGGACACAACGCGTTTTTGCCTTACTTATATGAATCCTCTTACTTTTATTCTTCAGCACCGGAATTTGTCCAGGAGGGGGGGGGGGTTATATTGTTCTTCCTTTGCATGTATCAACTTAACAGTCAACACCCGTTAGGGCCTGAAAACCCTCTAGAAAGCGTTGTATTTACTGAGTACGCCTCTGTTGTTTTTTATTGTTTGGAGTTCTTTATCCCATTTGTTTAAGGGAAAACATATATATTTATATTATGTTCTAAATATTTGAATTATGAAAAGCAAAACTCTAAACCAATTCAAAATGTCGTCTTAGTTTATCAAATTATTAGATTAAAGTTCTCTTCTGACTAAGTACATCTATACAATTCATCAAACAAGAAAACTAATATCTGGAGATTCAAAAAGGTGTTCTTCAAATCTTTGTATTTACTCAAGCAAAGGTTAATCGGTACCGTTGTGAATCGGGAATATTCATTTTTAATGAAGAGTCTCTAGACATAATGTCGACAACCGTTCACGTTTACGTTGAATATACATTGTACGTACATACAGAGTGTCCCACGAAACATGACAGTTAATAAAGAGTTATGAATGTCGTCTTCCATATTCTGTATAAGATATTAAAGGTTTTTTTGCAGTTTATTTCGTTAAAAAAAATCCTTTGCTTAAATATATTTTACTATGAAATCAATTTTACTATAACATGACTCCCATATTATATTTTTATTTTTGTCTTTGGTATCAAACAACTTATCAAATTATGGAAGAAGACATTCTAAACTATTTACCAACTGTCATGTTTCGTGGAAAACCCTGTATATCCCACCTTGAGTCAGGACATAAGGTTTCATAATAGAGATCAAGGATAATCCGGCCGTCCTGGTTGGAGCTGATCAGGTTCAGCTCTTTCTCCGGGATATTATCATCCAACCCAGCTCCGTCAGAAGATTTAGCTTTAGAACTAGTTCCACCCTGCATTATAGAAAAGTAAAAAATATACACCAGGGGCGGGCTCATGAATTAGTCTAGTGCGGGCTTTAATTTTTTGCTTTCCAGGGCGGGGCTCTGTACTTGTTGGGAACTCTCAAATCCATCCAGGGGGGTCTGCTGTGCCCCCCATTCCCCCCTTTCTAGAGAACACCTCTGACTTACACAGATTGTACACCTACATGTTGAAAATAAACATAAGCTATCACGTCAAATTAAAGTAAATTGCACTTAAAATTGAAATCTTACATAACTCCACTTATTGAAGAGCTTAGAGAAGAACAAAAATGTTTTAAATTTCTAATATTTAACCGGATGAGTTTCTAATCAAAATAACGACATAAAACGATGTCTTGAAATTGATGGAAAATATTATTAAGATCATTAGGGCCGGGAAAATTTGATTTGTAAATATAAATAATAAAATAAGTATTCACTATATATATGAGCTAAACGCGTTATTATAGCACTAAATAACTTTCCGTTAAAACTTTAAATGTCTAATGTAAAAAAAAAGAAAAAAAATCTATCCTACCCTACAACTATTACAAATATCTAAATAAAACTATTGAATTTTTTCCCTTAAATTGTAAATTGTAATCTGAGTGAAAGTGTGTATTAACAATATATAGCTGACTGGCATCTTTGAAAATGAAAGTTGTATGTCTTTCTCGTAAAAAATTCCTTGGACTAGATTTCCTATTATATAATTGTGCAACTGTCTTGTACAAATTCAAGATTGTTAATCTCGAACGTCCTTTGCCGGTATAAAATGTAACTTTTTGCCTCTGAACAAATAAGAAACTTTTTACTCCCAATATCATGAAATTGTGAGTAAAAATGCAAAATAAAGTCTCTCAAAATAAAATAAATATTATTGTATCTAGTATCTACGTGGGAAATCTTATGAACGTTGAGAATCGCGCTTCACGCATCCCTGACCCACTAGAAAAAGAAAATTCAACCTTAAGTCTGACTGCGTCAACCTTGTTGCACTGTGTTGCACCCGCTAGTCCTATTTAGTGTCTGCTTCATTTACCCGATGTCCGGGCGATACAGTACAAACTGGGACCGGAAAGGTTGACCCGACTCGGAAATTCAAATACCCGGCTGCCCGTGGCTTATTACTATTTAAATGGTAGGTCACTTGAAATCAAACCTGAACTGATGAAATCAGACCCAGCATTAATTCTTTATAGTCAAAAGCTATAAAGTTTTATCTAAGGACTATATTGTAGACGCATTTTTGAGCGATCGAGTCTACATTTTATGTATGCAGAATTAAGATATACGTACATGTATAATGCAAATGGTATATATCTAAATTGATAAACATAAAGTCATTTATATATGTATTTATATCTTTGTGTGTGAATAAATCTTTATAATAATAATATTTTTCCTTAAATCATATTGATTCTGAAATGAAACCACAATAGAAAATAATCAATTTTTAGATAAAAAGAATGATATCTCATTCATCCTTGATTAGGCAATGGTTTATTGGGAACATATATTGAGAGTCATTTGAAAAAGCGTCGACAATTAAAAAAAAATCCAAACTAAGTTTTCATTACAACTAAATTGTTTTGTGGATTATTTTATAAAATACCTGAAAAAATGAGGTGCATGAGTTAACCACTGCAAATGATTGAATGCATAAAACTGAAGAAAACACAAAATAAACAAAAACTATCTTTTACAAATTTGTAATCTATTTCTGAGAAAAGCATAAGTTTATAAAAAAAAACCTTAAATATTGTTCAAATAGAATATTAAGGATATAAAAATTTGTCAGATATTCTTAAAATTTTAATCGTATTCTTAAAACAAAAAAGTTTTTTAATTCGAAATTGCTTCGGATATACGCTCGATATTATAAACAAAATGTTTCAAGTTTTTTTTAATAATGTATTTTTTTTCAATTATTTGGGTTTCCTAGTGCTTCAAGACTAAACATTTTACAAAAAATAATTTTTGAAGTTTTTTTGTTTATCACTGGTTCATCTGTAATTTATATATATATTTAATTATATCTTTGAGATGATTTCAATCATTCACACTTATAATCACTAAATCACTTTTGCCATTTTTTGTGATTCAATCACAATGTTAATGTTAATGTTAACTCAATTCTATGAAGAATTTAACTTTTGGGTGGAATTACTGATTCATCTTAAACTTAAAATTTAGAGCTTTAATTTTAAAAAAAATTGAAAAATAAACTTGTTGTATTAAAGAAATATTATAACAAAAGGAGTCGTGTTTGAAAACATTCAAGTTTTAAAACTAAAATTGAATTAATTTTATTTTGGTGTGATCACAATATAAATGTAAATTGTTAATTCAACAGCTAGAAGTCTAGTATTATACTGTAAAATTAATTAGCGTTTCTTTATTAATTAACATAAACTAAAAGCGTAAAGGGACTGTAAGCGTAATTGCAGATGCAAAAATGGCAATGCTTGAATTCATAAGAGTTTAGCTACCCTTGAGACCTTTTGTCTGATCAATAGTGTGGAAGATATTGTCGTTTTTTTAGGTTTAAAAGGGATTAATCCTATATAATTTCCTTCAATACCAATGTGCAAGAAGAGAATTATAAATTATAATCATTAATTTCAGACAAAGCTTTTAAGGGAACCGTTGTGAATCGGGCATTACCATCTTTGCATGGAGGGTCACTTGAAATTATGCTTACAGTTCACGTAAAAACTTTTAAATTCTTGCGAAGGCTGACTCAGAGTTGATGGCATCCCAATGTAAAGAACAGCTAGATAAACAATATGACATGAGTTAACGAAACAGGACAATAGAGGAAGACAAACTAAAGATGGTTTTTGGCATATTTCTGATTATAAAAGGTTTGCACAACTTAAAAGATTTAAGGGATAAATTCCTTCCTTTGCATATTTAAAGCGACAAAGATATTGTTTAAATTTTGGATATTTATATATTGTGTCATGTCCGGTCATAACTTATAAACCTCTGGAAATGGATTATAACTCTAGATGTAGTATAATAAATATTGATTAAAAATAATACTTAAAAATCTAGATTGATGAAAAGATACCGCAAATTAATACAAAAAGTCTACTTGTCATTCCCTGCCAAAACTTGTTATGTTTACTGGACCACCCTGTGTATAATATTGAGAACTGAGAAACTAACATCTGAACAGTTTAAAGATATACGAGGAACTGATATGATGAAAGAGTATAGGACTAGGATGGGATGATTACAGGGATGAATAAACACTTTTTAACATTTCTCCGATAGTTTCTCTTTAAGCATGATATCATGAGTCGAGAGAACAAAATATTGTATATAAAATTAAATTAAGTTTTTTCTTCTTTATAAGAGATAAGAAGCCCCTGAACTCCTTGATAAACCCTTTAAACTTCGGAATAGCCCCCGGAAACCCCTGGAAACCCCCTGGATCGTAGAATTGTATAATTTGACTCTAGTTGTCTGGTAATATATCACTGAGATGTTTAGTTCACTTGAATCTCAAATATACAATATACATATACGATATACAAAATAGAATATACAGTATAATATACAATATTGTAAAGATGAAATCCCCGAAAGAAGCTTACAAAATCCGAAAATCAGGAGCGTTAGATTCTGGACCCAGAGAAGACCTCATCTCCTTTTATACGTACTAGTTTTTATCATGTAGTTACATCTAGAAACAATAAATGTACTTATAAAATATACAATATAATAGTTCATTATTCAATAAACAATATACAATAAACAATATGTATACGAGGAATAATCAATAAGTTTGAAGGTTGGAATTGATTCTTTACCACAAATTCAGTTTTTGTAAAACCTATATCTGTTCAACCTCATGATGTAAGCCTTTGATATTTCAAACTTACATTATTTGATTTAATAGCATTTATAGTTTGAAATATTAAATAAATATTGGGTTGCAAAGATATTGAAATTAGAAAATCAGAGTTTGTGGTAAAAACTCAATTCCTTTAAATTTTCAAAGGAGAGCAAGCCCTTATTGAGTGTTTGTATAGTTGTAATCTACGTTTCAGCAAACCAATTTATATTTTTTCCCAGGACCTCTTTGGAGCAAATGTAGTCCAAATCTTTGCCATTTTTCAAATCTTGCTTTACAACACTGTATGCATCACCATTTCATATGCCAAACTCATTAAACTTCATCAACTAAGAAACCTCGCGAATTTGGTCTGAGAAACTTTCAATTGTGTGGACTTATAGTGGGGGTTTTGTGGATTTTTCCTGGATATTTACATTTTCCGCCAACAATCTCCATTAAAGGGACTGTAAAGGAAAAATGAAAGGAGGTATAGGCTGAAAGCTAATCACTTTAGCTCTCGATCGCGACCCATGAAAGTTATATCTGATGTTCCTATCTCGATAAATTGATTTACATCTTTGTCAAATTTATACAAAAATTAATTTATATACAATTTTGTATAAAAGAAGTAGGTTTAAAAAGATAAAATTCAGCAAATAAGCAACCAATCTGAAAACGATGATATCCCAGAGAAAGCTAATTGTAAATTAGGTTTACTTTTATATTTGTTATTTCTATTTTTAATAGATTTCATTCATAATATTATTTATACGTCCGTATTACTTGACCAGAAATTCCACCAATGGCAATGCAGTAAAGTGGTCACGTGATACAGGCGGAGACACGTGATCTGTATACTGCTCTGCCATTGGTGATAGTTCTGCTCACGTAATTTAATTTTAAGATTTTATCAATTTTACATATATGAACTTTCCTAGAATTTTAACACAGTTTTATATCAATTTCTCGAGACAGGAACATCAGATGGGTCGCGATCAAGAGCTAAAGTGATTAGCTTTCAGCCTATACCCCCTTTCATTTTTCCTTCACAGTCCCTTTAAACCTTTTCCCTTTTAGTCCACATGTAGACAATTACCTTGTCCATATTATTCTCCTCTAATGCATTATGGATCATGTCAAAGGTGTCTACTTTTTGTAGAAAGTTTTAGGCCTGAATTTTTGTGTATCGAGCATCCCAAGTCTCCTCTTTCCTGGGTTGGTATTAAAAACGTTCCTGTGCTGTGATAATGAAGCTAAACAACCTCCGGGAAAATGCGAATTATATAGAAATAAAAAGTTTGATGATTGAAGTCTGTTCGGAGAAAAAACAAACGGGATGAATACAGTGCTGAGACGTCTATAAGTACCTTAAAAAAATACTTCGTAAATCTTATCGAACATAAAATAAACATAGTTTAATATCAAATATACATTATACAATATACAATACATAGTTCAATATACAATATACAACATACATAGTTTAATTTACAATATAGAATATACAATATACATAGTTCAATATACAATATACAATATACATAGTTAGATATGCAATTCTTGGCATTTTTAGAACTCCCGTTCCCCTAAATGATTTAGTTTTAACTGTTGTTCTGAAATGATTTTCAATTTTTGGCGGATTTTTCAGTTCCCCCCCCCCCCCCAATTTTTATGTTCCACATGAGGTCCACATAAAATTAGGGCCCGGGGTCGGTCTGATTCCATGAGTTGCATAACAAAAAATGTAATTCAGTGACATTTCGATAATTTGAATTGGAGTTTAAAGTAATAAAAATCCCTCATAAAGATACAAAATAAAACAATCTTCTAACATTTTCGACGTTTTTATTTAAAGGAACTGTAGACGTAAGTTTAAGGTAAATTGTTGTATTTCTATCCTAAAACGTTTTTTGTCGTTTTTTGTCTCTAGTATAACGCAATTGTATCTTTTATAAAGAAACCATTAGACAGTTGGTGAAAAGTTTTGAATGTCTTCTTCCCAACGAGGTTATAGTATAAAGAGTGATGATGTACGCTAGTCCTTTACTAATTGTACAGGCCACGTTCTCCTCACTCTCAAAGATCAATCTGTATATTACACTCGGGGCTGATTTCTGAAAATATTTATTTTCATTTAAACAGAAATAGGTTTTTAATCAAAAAACTTAATAAAAATGTAGATATAATTTCAACTTTTCCGTTAAATAGAGAGGGATGTATGGTTCACAATGGTATCCTTAAACCTCTGATTACGAAGGTACGAGATAATTTTCTCTTTGAAAGTAGAATATTTTAATCGTGATTTCTCGGGAAAGTGACTTGCGGAGTTTGCTAATGAAACAATGGAGGAAATAATCAGAATTTAACACCTTTCGAGCTACACATTAGACTACGTTATTGATCAATGGTTAATATCCACGGAGAGGTAGCTAAGATCCAGCCCCCCCCCCTGCTTCTTCCACATACTGTATTAGATATTAAAGACTTTTTGCAGTTTATTTCTTTTAAAAAATGTTTAACTCATAAATATTTTTCTGTGAAATCACTTTTACTAAAATATAACTGTCATATAAAAAATGTTATTAGTCTCTTTAGTATCAAACAACTTATCAAATTATGGAAGAAGACATTTTTAAACTATTCACCAATGTTTCGTGGGACACCCTGTTTGTTTAAATATAAACCAACCTTGTTAATGGAGGAGGGTAAAGATTGGAGGTAGATACAGCAAACTGGAGACTGGAGGTAAATAAACAAAAATATCCTTAAAAAAATTAAATTATCCAATTAAAAACCCCCCAAAAAAATATATGGCAATTTAACATTTTATACAAACTTGCCTCATTTTTAAATTTAAAGAATCTGAAAATAATTAAACAAATATTAAATATTTAGTTCCTTAATGTTGTGATTGTTATGGTATACGATTACACATTGCGCGCATGCCGCGAAGCAAAGTGCCGGTGGTAAAATTGGAAATTGTTGTGGCACCCCCTATCCTCTTGTAATGGGGGTTAAGTTGTGAAATAGAAAACCCTTCATCAAATTTAGTCGATCTCTGCACTGCAAAATTTTTATAGTGTTTGCACTGCATGTAATTTTATATTTTCATTTTTTAACTT